AAGATGAAAATGAGCCTCATCGAAATTCAGCCACATTTATGCAAAACGGTCATGGAAAATTTCAACAAAAGAGTGCGTATGTGCCAGCAAAGCCGTGGAGGCCATTTACCCGATATGCTATTCCATACATAACCCTATACTGTATACTTTATGAATCAATAAAAAATTTACAATTTTTAATGATAAACCTGTGTTTTCTATCAAAATTACTTCTTGCGTGAATTTTGGGACACCCTTTATATACATATTAGGGAGTTATGTGCATAGTAAAAACTAATGGTAGATATAAAATAAACTTGGATAACTAAATAAAATGAATGCCAAAGAGGATGAGGTGGAGGTTAGAAAATATTAGTATTTGAGGCCCTGGCTGGTGTTGCTCAGTGATTAGAGTGTCAAAGGTTCAATTCCTGGTCAAGGCAAGTACCTGGGTTTTGAGTTGGATTCCACCCCCCAGTGGAGGCTTGTGGGGGAGGTGACTAGTCCATGTGTCTCTCTCACATTGATGTTTCTCTCTCCTCCCCCTCTTTCCCTCCCTTCCACTCTCTCTGAAAAGCAATAGGAAAATATCCTCTGGTGAGGATTAAAAAAGAAAATATTAGTATTTGAGTAACAAATTATAAAAGAATTTAGAGAAGGTGACTAATGTAATGGCTAGATATGTGTTTCTCAATCAGAAATAAAAGAGTACTTATTAAAAATAAAGATTTCTATTTTCCATGTAGACCTGAATCTAGATCTTCGGGGTTGGGGGAAGATGTTAGAAGTAAGTTGGTCCTTATGTGTACTGAAGTTTGAGAACTGGTGCCGTAGGAAGAGAGTCAAGATAGGACACTGTTGATGATGGAAGAGTAGGAAGGCATTTCAGAAACTCCTGGGCTTGGTTGGTTAAGTCATGTTATAAAAAGGCCAAGATGTAGATGATGCTGTTTTGAACATTTCTTAGGCCAGAGGAGAGGAGTGCAAGTCATTTAATCTCATGTTAGGTCCACTTTTATGGACCATTGCATAGATATTCTCTGATAGATTTTTTTTCTTTGTGAGATGTTTTACTTATGTTTAAGATATACACAGTGAAGGAGTAGGGTTCATAATTGTGTTTTTTTAATGAGTGAAGTGTAGATGTGAAATTAAATTTAGTTTCTTTTTTATTAATATAAATTCTGAGGTATTATCCTGAAAATAAATAAATCCTGAATTTTGGGTGGCATGATTATATTTGTCTGGATTTTATTTTTCTTTGTTTGGTATATTCCTTCTTATATTGGTTTTATTTATTTTTTAAACTTTTCTTTATAGGTCTGTATTGGATTCTATTTTGCTTTGAAAAGAGTGTTCTATCTAGGTTTGCTACTCAGGAATATTGTAGGTAGAGTGAACTGGGGTAGCTAGAGATGTCAGATCTGGGATGTTGTCTGAGAGCACCACAGGCCTCCCCACATGCTCATTGGAACTCTTTCTTCTGCCCTGAGGTGGGCGTGGCATGTCGCACCTTCAGGTGAGCAGCTCATGTAGATAACTGGTCAGTTTTTTTCCCCTCCAATGATTTAGTGTTTAATCTTTGCTCATATTGCCTCTTGTCAGCAGCTGTAAGGTTATTGCTTTTTCCCATCTCTTTTTTCAACTCCACCCTTTCAGGAGTCGGAGAAAGTAAAGATGTTTTGTGTGCCTCTCCCGTCTGCCCTTCCTCATTGTTTTTAAAAGGCTGCCATTACCATCTCAGGAATGCATGACAATTTATTCAGTAACTCCCTTTTTTCTGGTATCTTGAGTGCTGCTTATTTTTCTCTACGATACAGTGTGATGAACAGCTTTTCAAACCTTTATGCCTGGTTGTTAGAGTTCGAAGATTTGGATTTGAGTCCTCACTCTACTGCTTGCTGTGTGGGCTTGGATGAATTGCTTAATTTCCACGTGCCTGTTTTTCTCATTATAAAATTGGAATACTGGAGAGAGACCAAGATGGCAACATAGGTAAACACCGCAGACTGCTGCTGCAAACAACCACTTCAAAAATACAACTAAAAGACGAAACGGACATCACCCAGAACCACAGGAAGGCTGGCTGAGGAGAGACTCTTCAACTAGAAGGAAAAATAACAGCACACCGAGGCTCAGAGGAGGCGCAGTGTGGAAAATACTCAGGTGCGGAGGTGCGCGCGCAAAGCGGGCTGGTGGCTGAGAGCGCGGTTGTCGTTTTCGGTCAGGGGGGAGTCTCAGACTCTGAGCTCCAGATACGGGCGAATCGCTGGGGACTCGGACCCAAACGGGAGAAGCGGGAGTGTCTGGCATCAGTTGGAAGGCAGCTTTCCCTCCGAGGTTTGCAGCGGTTCCGGGGGTTCTGAGAAGCAGAGCCTCTGGGAACAGGACTGAGGGCACCATAACGGCTCCCTCCGCCCGCCCTGTTGAGCCCGCCCCGCCCAAGCCCTGCGCAGAGCCATTTGCCGGATCGCCTCAGGCAAAGGCTAGATTAGCACCTCCCCAGAGGACAGAAGTTTTCCGCGGCAGACACAGCTGATTCACACAGCCAGTCGGCCTGGTGGTCAAATCCCTCTAGTATTAACTACAACAATCAAGGCTCAACTAGAACAAGACTGCGCACAAAGACCACTAGGGGGTGCACCAAGAAAGCATAAAAAATGCGGAGACAAAAAAACATGACAGAAATGGAGGATATAGAGCTAAAAATCGCAATTTTGAGGGCTTGCAAAAATGTGCTAGAAGCTGTCAATAAACTTGAGGAGAGAGTCACGAAAACTAATGAGACCCTCGATGCTATGATAAAGAACCAACTAGAAATTAAGCATACACGGACTGAAATAAAGAATATTATACAGACACCCAATAGCAGACCAGAGGAGCGCAAGAATCAAGCCAAAGATTTGAAATGCGAAGAAGCAAAAAACACCCAACCGGAAAAGCAAAATGAAAAAAGAATCCGAAAATACGAAGATAGTGTAAGGAGCCTCTGGGACAGCTTCAAGCGTACAAACATCAGAATAATTGGGGTGCCAGAAGATGAGAGACAGCAAGATATTGAAAACCTATTTGAAGAAATAATGGCAGAAAACTTCCCCCACCTGGTGAAAGAAATGGACTTACAGGTCCAAGAAGCGCAGAGAACCCCAAACAAAAGGAATCCAAAGAGGACCACACCAAGACACATCATAATTAAAATGCCAAGAGCAAAAGACAAAGAGAGAATCTTAAAAGCAGCAAGAGAAAGAGACTCAATTACCTACAAGGGAATACCCATACGACTGTCAGCTGATTTCTCAACAGAAACTTTGCAGGCCAGAAGGGAATGGCAAGAAATATTCAAAGTGATGAATACCAAGAACCTACAACCAAGATTACTTTATCCAGCAAAGCTATCATTCAGAATTGAAGGTCAGATAAAGAGCTTCACAGATAAGGAAAAGCTAAAGGAGTTCATCACCACTAAACCAGTATTATACGAAATGCTGAAAGGTATCCTTTAAGAAGAGGAAGAAGAAAAAGGTAAAGATACAAATTGTGAACAACAAACATGCATCTATCAACAAGTGAATCTAAGAACCAAGTGAATAAATAATCTGATGTACAGAATGAACTGGTGATTATAATGAATCAGGGACATAGAAAGGGAATGGACTGACTATTCTTGGCGGGGAAAGGGGAATGGGAGATGCGGGAAGAAACTGGACAAAAATCGTGCACCTATGGATGAGGACAGTGGGGGGGGAGTGAGGGCGGAGGGTGGGGCGGGAACTGGGAGGAGGGGAGTTATGGGGGGGAAAAAAAGAGGAACAAATGTAACCTGAACAATAAAGATTTAATTTAAAAAAAAAAATAAATAAAATTGGAATACTACTCATTCAGTCCTAAGGATTAAATGAGATATTAACTTAATAATCTCAGGAAAGCACTTGGTGCTTTATAAACTTTAGTTAGAATCATAGATGCTCCAGAATCATCGTTTCCTTTGCTGATTCCCAGAAGTAGAATTGTTGTGTCATAGGGTAGGAATATTTTCAGGGTTTTGATATGCATTTCAAAATTGCCCTCCAGAAAGGTGATGTCAGTTTACTTGGGAGCTGAATTTGAGAGTTTTCTGAAACCCTTGTGTTGACCTCTATTTTACATGTTTTACGTGAAGTTTGAGGTAAGTCCATTGGCCTAAGGGCTTCTGGCAGTTGAAGAGAACTCTGGGGATGAGGAGGGGAGTGAGTTGGCCTGGGATAAATAAAAGGGTTATTTTCTTGTTTTGGCCACATAAATCTTTATATTTACACCTTGTTTTGATAATTTTGGTCCTCTTGTTCATTTTGCCCCATAAATATTTTAATTTTTATTTTACCTATGTTTTATAATTTCCAAAGTGCCTCCTGTAAGTTATTTTCCATTTGATTCCCATAATAAACTTTCTGGGTAAGTGAGGTAATATATATATTGAGGAAACAGATCCAGAGATACTGCAATTTACCTAAAGGAAACAAAGCTAATGAGAGGTAGAACAGGAACACAAATGGTACTTTTCTGAATCCTGGTGTATCTCTCTTTATCATGTGTTTTGGGGACCTCTGTTTCCTTTCTTGCAGTCCTACTTCAGTTCCAGTCATTGATCAAATTTTATTGTTAGACCACTAGGATTTATCTTAGTTCAGAATAGTATGTAATCATAATTCTTTGTCTGAAAATTAGAATTTAGTAATCTCTAAAGCAGTGGTTCTCAACCTTCTGGCCCTTTAAATACAGTTCCTCATGTTGTGACCCAACCATAAAATTATTTTCGTTGCTACTTCCTAACTGTAATGTTGCTACTGTTATGAATCGTAATGTAAATATCTGATATGCAGGATGGTCTTAGGCGACCCCTGTGAAAGGGTCGTTCGACCGCCAAAGGGGTCGCGACCCACAGGTTGAGAACTGCTGCAAAGGAAGGTGGATGTGTGGGTGCACACACACACTTCAGCTTTATGTCTATAGTACAAAAATATAAAATTAGAACTCCGCTAAAATTTAGTGTTTTTTGCAGTTCTAATGGGACTAGGTTGAAGTTTGGTTTTCCATATAAGTCTCTTTATAATAAAATTAATATTAATAACTGAATGTCTTTAAAATTTCTACAAGGTTATTCTTTTTTTTTCAGTCCTCATCTCAGGATATGGCCATTAATTTTTTTTTAGAGAGCAGGAGGAAAGTAGAGAGACAGAAACATCCCCAACTGGGGATCGAACCGAAAACCTGAGTGTGTGCCCTGACTGGGAATTGAACCCAAAACCTTTTGGTGTATGGAATATGTGCCAACTAAATGAGCCACCCGGCCAGGGCAGTTAGGTAATTTTTATAAGACAAGTTTGATTGAAACTAATTAACCATTAAATCTTTATTGACTCAAATTTTTTAGTTATTTAGTGATTTAGAATTCAATTCCCATTCCCACCTTTTACTATAATAAAACATTTTCCTGGCTGTTCTCCCCTGTATCCATAGCATCTAATGCAAGTAAATGTTGAATGAATGACCAAGTTACTGTGGTCAGATGTTGATATTGAGGGATTAATGCTGAGTTGATTTAAGCTCTCAAAGGTATTTTATTAAAGCATTGATTAAAAAGTTAAGACTTAATTTTAGAGTGTCTCCCAAGGGCTTTGTATCTGTGTGCACACATGTGCACGCATGTGTTTTAACCCTTTGAGTGCTAACCAATATCCTAGGAACTATGCTAAAATTGCCAAGGCATTTTTGCTGATTTTACAGCAGTTTAGGAAAAAAATTATGAATCGCAAGTAAATGAAGTTACATATTCAAAAACTTAAGGAAACCTTTACTACATCGACATATTTAGCAATATCATCATCACTAATAAAAGCAGACTTAGAACTGGACGCCATTTCGAAGCTTTGATAGCGCTCCCGGCACTTTTGGCGAAAGACAGGAGGAGTGCGATCGCGCTCCCCGGCACTCTAGGGGTTAAGTACTATTCATCATTGAATTTGGATGTTTTTTGAACTCTAGTCATTGGTATGCTGTTAAGATTACTATATAAAGACTTTATTTTTGTTTATTTGATTTTAATTTGATATGTACAGATTTCACATTTTTATTTGTATATTATCAAACTTATTTGCTCAAGAAGTAAGAATGTCTAGAGCATTCACAGTTGCTATGAGGATAGAGTGACTTTTAGGAGACAAGAAGGCTGTAATCTTTTTGTGATATTCTCTGTTTTAGATTTTAAAAGGTTTTTCAAATACTTATTGAGGCTTTAAAATATTTTTATTTGCAATAAAAAGGGCAGTGAGATTGAATGATAAACTACTTTATAATAACCTTGAACATAAAAATAAAATTTTTGTAATAATGTGGTATCATATTAAGGTACTGATATTAACATATCTTTCAACTATTCTTGTTGGAATTGCTAAGTAAAAATTTGATGGCTCAGAATTTTTGTTTATGTTTTTACTCAAAAACTAACTACTTTAGAAGTTATTTTAGGGCAAAATGCTTGCCTGAGTCACTAAAGTTAATAAATTGTTTTCTTTTAATATGTGTTCTTTAGGTGTTTTATGGATTAACTCTTCATTCATCACATACAGCAGCAATATAGTTATGGCAACCTTCCAGACTTTCAGAAACAGTCACATGAAGACTAGAGCATCTGTCAGAAAAGTAAGTTCTCTATATTACATTACTTTTAGTGATAGTTTAGTAAAAATGTTGATTTTTTTTGTTAAGCAGCTGTGATATTCTTGTTTCAAATTACTCATTGAAATTAGTAACATTGAAATACTGCAAAGATTGGAATATATGACAGTAGTGATAGGAAATCATGAAGATAATGAACCTTATTTCCTAAAGATCACAGTGCCTCCCCATTTCTTCTCAGCAGATAGTTTTCTATCATCTTTTTAGCAATATAAGTATCAGGTGTAAATTTTCTTATAGATCTACCCCAAAGTATTATCATCCGTCCATCCGTCCATCCATCCATCCAGCCATCCATCCATCCATCCATCCATCCATCCATCTATCCATCTGTCCGTCCATCCATCCATCCATCCATCCATCCATCCATCCGTCCGTCCGTCCGTCCATCCATTTATCCATCCATCCATCCATCTATCCATCCATCCATCCATCCATCCATCCATCCATCCATCCATCCTTCCATCCTTCCTTTCCCTTGGGCTAGAAGGACTGAAGGCATGTGGCATTTTGATGGCTAATTTGCCCTGTGGCGCCACTTCTGTCCTTGCCTCTCTCTCTTTTCAAGAAATCTGTACCACCAGGGGGCGTACTTCTTATGTCCACTTTGCCAGAGGTATTGCTGTCCAGATGTGCTGGAGAGCTTCCACCTTCCTGCCTGTAAGGACATGGAGGATGTACCAGCCACTTTCTCCTCTCATTGGTGCTTTCTCCCCATTCATTCATTCATTCATTCATTCTGGAAATAAAAATTTCAATGTTTTCTATAGGTCAGGTCCTACACTAGGTATTAGATAATCAGTACTGAGCAGATTTCTACTTTCTGTAAACTGTAGTGTATTATACTCTTCTCATATTATATGCAACAGGACCCATAGCTTTAAGCGAATAATTAAATTATACAGATTGCTTTATATTAATAATTAGAACTAAGAAATATACATACAAAATATAGTAATGAGCTACTGACCTTGTTTTTTAAGCATAATACTACATACCTGTTTGACTCGAATTTACTAATATGAGGAATTAGGCCACAGCTGAAATTTTATACTATTATTATTTTTTTAAATTTTGTTTTATTGCTTAAAGTATTACAAAGAGTATTACATATGTCTCTTTTTTTTTTTCCCCTTGACATTCCCCCGGCCTACCCTACCCCCCAGTGTCTTGTGTCCATTGGTTATGCTTATATGCATGCATACAAGTCCTTCGGTTGATCTCTTACCCCCGCCCCCACACCCCCCAACCCTCCCCAGCCTTCCCGCTGTAGTTTGACAGTCTGTTCGATGCTGCTCTGCCTCTGTATCTATTTTTGTTCATCAGTTTATAATGGTCTTTATTATCCATAAATGAGTGAGATCATGTGGTATTTTTCTTTCATTGACTGACTTATTTCACTTA